ATATTTAGCCTACAAAGATACTTCCTGATTACAGCTAGTCATTACATCATCAACAAATTATCAGCCTAAGGTATTCATAGATTAGGAGTCCCTGATTCCAAGCCTAAAGCTACAGAAACTTTAATGAAGTACATGCATTTATGCAGATAAAGTAAAACCGCGTGCATCAAGTATTAACTCCACCCGCGTAGTCTACTGAGAATAACTACCCTGCACAATCGTCGGCTAGAAGAGCGATGGGAGCCGAGAACCTTTGGGACAATGCATTTGGTATACAATGGGAACCTGCAAATAAGAAATACGTTGGAAAAAAAAAATTTAAATTAACAAAACAAATTTGTAAGAACAAGATATGAGGAGAATGCCACTAACTGTGACTTCTTCAGAAAATGTAAGAGGATCAACATGGAAGTATTAAGATGATGAAGCAACAAATAGAGATAACACGGTTGAACCTTCCGCCTGCACCTGCAGGTGAATATGCAAGAGCTTCACAAATCTAATCATAAATACAACACAAATCTTACATGCATAACAGCAATTTAAAAGCGACGCCTTCTCTTGACACACACATGCACACCCCCACCCCAACGCACACAAGTCACACAGACAAACTCAGTTACGAGATGTTCCGACTGTAATAACGCAAACCGCGTTCGAGCTGAAATAAGACTCAAAAGGTAACACAATGGTTTCTAGAAAGCTGATTGATCATCCAAACAAAGAGAGAAAATAATTTTTTTTGGAAACAAACGGAGATGGCCCTCAATAGAATGGAATGGAAAGGTATAGTATTTATGTAGGTGAGCCCAAAAGTTTCAGATGAAGACATTATTCTTGCTGTCGTATCTGTAGGAAACTTATCTGATCATTCATATAGTTTAGAAATTCTTTTCTAGTCAGTTTAGGATTTTGCACTCTCATCCACATGCTTACTTGATTGCATTAGTAGATTTTAGATCCTATGGCTATGTTCTAGCATCCTGCGTCACCTATCCTGGTCAACATTGTTCAATGTCTTAACACTCAGATTTAGTTCTAATATTTTCTGGATTTTTTTCTTCTCAATCCAAGAACCCTATGTCTGTGTTTAAAATGACCTGTATAATGCACTACTCTGATAAAGGCAGTTTGACATCATAATGAAGCTGTCTGCAGCAATTCAACCTATCGGAGAATCGGTAGTCAATTGCCTGATAGCTTCTAGCTTTGTTAAATTATCAAAATCTTTAGTAAAATGTTAAAAAACTAATAATGCTTATCATTTCAGCATCCATGTTATTTGCTGATTATATCTCCCAATGGCTTCTTGTTAGGTAACACGGACACTTCGTTTTTGGGTGCCGTATTCGTGTCCGACATGTGTCCAACACCAACTCTCCATAGACACTCGATTGGCACTTGTGGTTCAAAGAAAAACGCGATTTCCCCATTACTTATTCTCTAAACTAGTTTCGCTAGTAATATCAGGTTCAAAACCAATTGTTTTTTAACCTAAAAACTGAAATCCATTACTTAAATATTTGAAAAATACCCATCGTATTACCCCATGCGGTCAAAACTAAACTTTTTGTTGTTAAATCTTATTCTTGGTTTGATTTAACTTGATTCTTAATTGTTATAGATAATACAAAGAAACATACAAATGTTACTGGTATTTTTCTTCAATATTTGATATCGTGTGCGTATTATATACCGTGTCCCCGTATCCTACACTTTACTAATTTTCTGTGTCTTGTGTCCGTGTTCATGTCCGTGCTACCTAGGCATCTTGACAACTGAAGCCTCGATTGAAATCATATCATGTATTCACCTCTTAGGGAGTTAATAACCCTAAGAAAAGCATATTTCTTAGAATATAAAACCTTGAAAACAAGCTCTTGCATCTAGTGGCACTAAAACTATGGAAAACCAAGCAACAAAGCATAACTTGCTTAAACAGGAGAAATACCAAACATGTAATTTGATGATAAACAGTACATCATCCAAGGAATTTCAGTTCTAGTGTATAATCCGTAAGGAGAAGCAGCTGTTTCAACACTAAGATGAATAGATGAATGAGTTCAATCCGCAGCAGCTTATACAATAAATGCATCATGCTCCACGAAGAAATGAACTAAGAACGGGATCCTTATATGTTTGCGAGGTCTCCTACTAAAAAGTCATTAGCACCATTATAGTGCCTGTCCAACTGTATCTTCTTCTTTTGAATATGCAACATATGGTGTCAAAGTATTAAAAAGAAATACCTGAATCCAATAGGTTGAAGCAAACATATAGACCATATGAGTGAAGCTAACATATCCAAGTAATTCATACCGTGTACAGATATGAACCAGAATAAAGGGTGCATGTTTATCAATAACAATAAAACATATAGAAATCCAGATATATCATTCTGCCAAGAGCTTGTTGACAAGTAACAATATACTCATGCGTACTTATGCATGTGGATGCCTGACAACATACCGTTCTATATCCTTTAGAAAATTAACAGGATTCAACACTCTGCTTCCCCATCTTCTGCACATCCTCAGGTGAAAGTATCTTAATGTACCAGACATTATTCACAAACGCCCTGTGTCAAGGTAAAATTTCGAAACTGGATTAGGGATATTATTCTGTAACACTTGAAGAATGAAGAATTAAGTCACTGCTTTATTATATTGAAGGATGCAACAACTACCACAATAGCTTCCAAAAAATAAACCGATCTAATACCAGGGAAATACCTAGAAAAAGCTACTCAGATAAGAGCATAGCGGTTCACTTTGTTTTGTTCATAATTATCTCATGTTTCTCGTTAATTCCTTAACCATTACGCCTCGTTTGGTACGTGGGAATGAGGCGGAATGGAATGGTCATTCTCACTTCTCATTCCCCGATACCAAACATACCTATTTTTTAGAAGTTGGAATGACCACTCCTAGGGAATGACCATTCCCACTGTTTGTGGGAACGAGCATTCCAAGTGAATTGATAAGGAATGATCATTCTCATTCAAGTGAGAATCAAATTAGTTACGTGATTTTCAATTATACCCCTATTGATAATCAATTTAGGCTAGTATATCATTTTGCTATTTCAAATCTTATTATTTTAGTTGGTATTATTTTATGGATTTTTTTATTATGATATGGGTGATTTTGATACTTTATAAAATGAGTTAATTTATATATCTAGAACTGTGAATTGTGGATATCATTCTTTATATTATTTTTGGACCTATGAAAGATGTGATGCTCTTTTATTTATTTTTCTTTAATTTTTTAAGACAAAGAAATAGTGAGTATTGTTTAAAAAATATAAACGGAACATACACCTGAGAAATAACATGTGCATTAGTATAAAACATAGCTAGATTAATATAACCTATGCATAAATAAAATTGTTTAGTTGTTATCATTAATGTTTATTTTTATCTTATTAAAAATATATGTTGTTGTAAGGGCATTATTAGAAAATATGATTTCATTCTCACTTGTGAACTAGTGATACCAAACATGGGAATGAGAGTGGGATTTTCATTCTAACTTCATTCTATAAACGCACCCAAACAAGAAAATGAGAATGATCATTTCATTCACACATACATTCCATTCCATTCACACATACATTCCATTCCATTCTTTCTTCCATTCCATTCTCATTTGAGTCCATTCCCACGTACCAAACGAGGCCTAAGAGATCTCCAAAACAGAAAAATCATATAGGGGTTCGGAAACCCAATATCAGAAATTATCTATGATGAATAAATAGTTAAATACTAATACGAAATCGAAATGTGATTCTTAAGCTTTATATTACGTCTAAGTGGTAAAATAAATCTGTTATAACCTACTGTCATCTATCCTTGGTGTCTTAACTCTTTCTTGGTCTCTGAGAAAAGCATAGAGGGGCTTTAGAAACCCAGCATCAGGACTTATCTCCGATGAATAAATAGTTAAAAGACTAATATCAAGCCAAAATGCGATTCTTAAACTTATCTACATCTAAATGATGAAAGATATCTGTTATATTATATTGTGTATCTATTCTTGGTGTCCTATCTCTTCCTTGGTAACTTGAGCTTAGCTTACATATGAAATGCAAAATCAATAAGGTAGGTATACCTCAACATGTTTTATAATCTTGGTTGTCATTTTATTGGCAATACACACGCCTATTAGACTGGGGTTAACTTGATTCAGCTTTCCAATGACGATTTCAATCAAATTAAACCCAAAAAATATGAGGCTTTCTATAAATGATGGGTTCACATTTTTTTCTTCCTAGCCAAACATTGGAAATTGTTGGAAACCCAATCCTAGGGCTGTCTACAATTGACACAAACAAGTGAAATGGTTTTTCAGGAAAAGGTTGGTAGACTTAAAAAGAATCTATTCTAAAGCTTGGAAAAGTGTCCTGTTTTTGTAGGAAAATAACCAAACAGACTCTAAGCAAAAGGGGGAAAAAGAACAAATACCAAAGACTTTATTTTTTTGCATGAATTTGACATGCCAACAGACAGAAGATTTGTTCAGAACATTAGATGAATTGAATATGGATAGACACTAGTCGCGACCTGAAATTAAAATGAAATTCATGTAATGCTTATAAGTTATGAGTCTCAGGTGATTATGAGTTATTTTTCTCTTTTCCTTCCTCTTTTCCAGATTGAAATGTGAGCATGAGGAACTTGTCCAGACAGATGGTTTTGCTCACCTTTATCACAAAGAACAAATGGCGGCATTCTACATATGTTCAAAGAATATTCCAAAAATAGATCAAAACTAATTAAACTGCTATAAATCATGTAAATTATACGGAGAAACCAACCCTATCATCATCATGTACCTTACTTACCATAAATTTCTTGTCCAAAGGTTTCATAGAGATATAAAGCAGACCATCCCGATTATCACAAAGTATGATTATGTTTTCACAGATTACCTAAGTCATGTTACAACTATTCCTCAAAATAAAAGGCGTGTAATTAATTAACAAACAAAAAGAAAGAAAAGGAAGAAGCCTGCATCTTCAGGAATTAGAACAGATTACCTAGTACTATTCTATTCAATCTGCAAATAGATTCTCATAAACCATTTCACTAACCAGAATCTCAATATACTAAGGCAGTGGAATTAACTAAAGCATGAAAACAGTGTTTGAACTTACTCCCATGGGTCGTCTCCAAGGAGAAGCACATCATTCTCCCTGTCAACAAATACAAGCTGCCAGCCTGATCTAAGAGGATCCTCCAATAGACCCTCAATACCAAACATTTGACCCAGTTCCTCACGTAATTCTTCATAGTTGCTAAACCGGCCAATGTCCAGTGATCTCCCAACCGATCCAGACTTATAAACCTACAATTGTCAAATAATTGCTTAATTTGATGGCTAACAATAGAGTAGTATTGAAGGAATATACTCCTTCAGTGTTCACCTTCACGAAAGTTCTGGTAGTTGGATCAACATCTGCATTGTGCATTGAACTAGAAGAGTCATCCAGGGACCCATACAGAGAGTTCTGCATATATGACGAAGCATATGGCCCAGTGGAAACCTCAGTATCAACAGCATTTGGACTCATCAAACTAGGCACTGCATTGTTGAGGAGGTTAGAGGAATCTATGTTAGCACCAAATAAGGTGCGGTTCTGCATATCATTCCTGCAATTTTCAGCTTCCAAAGAACCATCTCTGCCAGGAAATGGTGGAAGTGAAACACTGTTGCCAAAGTGGGACATTTGTGAGCTTGTAAGCTTCGGTTCCCATGGTTGCTGATGGTGATCGTTCATCATCTGATGACTAAGATTCGAGAAGTCCAACACATTGGAACCTCCTTCAGGGTAACCATAGCCTAACATATTTTGGCCACAGCCAGAGTTTAAGACTGATGAGAAGTTTGTGCTCGAATCCGAGAAGGGTAGCTTTTGGCTCAAAGAAGGAAAGTGTGATTGCTGCTTCTCCACCTGGTTGCTAGGAATCTGAAATGCTTCTGAAAAGGTATTTGGATGCTGAGCCTGTTTTTGCTGTTCATTATGTGACTGCTGCAATTGCTGACTCATAATGTTATGTGTCTGGTTCTCTGATAGACAATGTGATTGGGCATTCATCATTTGTGCTTGTTGGGCCATTTGCTGCTGCAACAAAGAATTGGACTGCTGTGGGAATTGGAAAGGTTGCTGAAATTGGATGAAGTGTTGCTTCAGAGCATCAGTGCCTCCCATTTCCTGCAAAGCTGCAGCAGCCATTGCTTGGTAATGATCATGATTGTTGCTTAATAGTGGTTCAAGCCTCTGTTGCGCCCAGGGGCCAATGCCTGGTGACTGAAAGTTCAAGGATCCAGCATCCCCCCTCATCCACATGAAAGGATTGCCTCCATCAACCTTGTAATCTGCGATATTACAGCCAGAAGTGAGATTTTCGTTAAATCTTGAGTATGGAATGAACCAATCATGACAGGTTTTCACTTGCTAACATGTAAGAGACAGCGCAATAGCAAACTGAAATTTTGTTCTTTTTATTCTATTGGTGTGCCTATCTTCTAAAAGCACTGCAAGAACGGACATTTTTAATTTGCATAGCCCATCTGTTATGACGTGAAATCCCATGATATGCTTGCATAAAATACATTATGTGATATAAAACTCTATGATTTGGTAAAGTATATTACTATATTGTACCATCTCAACGGCCACTTTGTCTGACATGGTATACAAAAATCTCAACTAGTAGCTTTAATTGGTATATAGATAAAATGATTTTCAAACAAATGTTTTCTGACAATGTACCAAAGCCACAGGTTTCAGGGAGATCCTGAGAATAAACATCACGGAATTTATTAATTTTTTTTCTTTTTTGTTTACTCACTTATACCATCTTTTCATGTGAGTCTTTATGCTGAAGTAATAATCATTATATGGATGTTGAGTTGATTAAGGTCCGTTACCCACTGATTTATCTATTTTAGTTATTTACTGAGGAAAGGTTGTAGCACATGCCTAATTTATTACTATAAGCTAAAATAACTCTGACACTTGTTAGGGATACTTCAAACTTTTGCAGTTAATATCAGCTATTCTTCTCAACCATATCTTTCTCTGTCTATACTCAGATTGAACAAGTTTCATCCTTCTTACAATGTAAATTATGACCATTTACAATCGAACTTGCCTTTTCCAAGCATAGCTTATCTCAGTTTCCCTGTACTCTAAATGGGTTGCACAGATGATGCTTAGCCATCAGGTTAAACTTATGGTATAAAGTGGCTCCCCAAGGTCATCAATTTATATTAACTATTGATTGCAGTATATAGGGCTCAACTAGTTTGTCGCTTCCTTACCTTCATTTTGTGCTGCAAGTGTTCATCAACACTAGCAGTTCTCACATGCATTACTTACATTGCTAAACACTATTTAATTTCTCCAGTACTTCAAGAGGGAATCTGTCCCCCCATGTAAAAGTATGGGGTCTTTTTGAGATGCCTTTGACATATACAGTACTTAGTTTGCTGTAATTTGGTTAACTTCTACTTTATCTTTCCTTACACTAGTTGTTTATCATTAGTTTGCTTGTGAAAATCACACATAGTTTAAGAGCTAAATCCAAACAAAAAAGGGGCATATGTGATCAACATTAGCATTTTGTACTACTTTCATCCACTTCGAATACTTTCAAGGTGTTGTGAAAAGATCTGAATCAGCAAAAACAGTAATAGAAAAAAAAAGATAACATAAACGCAAAAGTTTGGTGGAGGTCCCTTGTGTAAATTCACGTCATCTACTCCTTTATGAATAAAAGTCGTCATTTGGGGTCCCCAACGTTAGCCCCGTCATTGGTCTAGGTCCTTTTACAAACTTCTATTAACTCTTGCTAAGATGTCAGTGAGATGTGGCAGGACAAAACTTGTAATTTCACTAATGGTACCTGTACCCGAAACCGACACAGGTGTTTTTGCTAACTGCACGCCTTCACATCACTGACACGCCAGCACGATTTAAAATTTGTAAACAGGACCTAAGCTGATGACACAAGCAAAGTTAGGGACTCCTACTGATAACTTCCAAAAATAGCAAACCTAGATGATATTTGGCCAATACATAAGGGACCTCCACCGAAGTTTTGCCTAATATAAAACAAAAAGATATTTTTTAAACTAACAGAAGCAAGGATCGAAAATATCATGAGAATATGACCATATACCACGATAAAACTATAACAATTTTACGATTGAAGTTTGTGGGTGGAGGTTAGGTTGGTGGGATCTACAGGGGGATTAGATCATGAAAACACCATATGCAAATAATAAAAAATTTCGTGAAAATATGATATATCCCACAATCAAATTCTTAAGCTATTGATTTAATATGAATAGACCTCTAAGTTGACGAGTAAAATACCATTAAAAGGCGATAAACCAGGATACCAGGGCTGTTTAAGCCTCAAAGGAAACAAAGATGGATACATAGGGAACGTAGTCAGAGGCTCAATCTCCCATAGGGAGACCCTTGGTTGTCTATCCCCAGAAGTGGACTCATCCCACCCAACCTGCAAAAATGATACTCATTAAGAAATTAGGAACCTTTCTTATAACCTCGCATTACTTGCACCAATTCTAGAAAATGTTATTCATCTCTCTGTCATCTCTTTCATACTGGTGCACATTTTTAGAATTTTTTTGTACCTGGTGCATATTATAAGAATTTTCCTATCATGAAACTGTCCTGTTTTTAGCTATGCTATTAATCTATGTCTCAAAATGGTTCAGAATAATACATGATTGAAGCCTTTTCATGCCTGCTGACACGAGTGAGCACGAACTAGCTTGCTAAAACCACAGTCGACAACCTCAAAAGAGAAGCAATAATAACATGGACAGATAGATGGAAACCAGAAGGTAAAGCGCAAGCAACAAAAGAGATGTCAATAGATGCTTATGACATGAATAAGATCTAATAGCATGCATGATTGAAGGTCCAAGACTATGGAAGTAATGAAACTAGAGGTCAAGGATTTTGGATATAAACATGTGTACACCCACCCACCCACCCAAAAAAAAAAGGAAAAAAAAGGCAGTGTAATTTACTGGCATGTTGGTGACTTCACATGGGAGGTGCGAATAGGATGCAAGCCAGCTTATGTGATATAGACCAGGCATTATAAATTAAAGGGAAAAAGAAACAGGTGTGGTTTACTTATCAGATCAATAGGATAAATGTGTTGAAAATGAGCCACATGATGCAAACTGCCCACTATGCTGATGAACATAGCTTTCAAACTTGGAACAAAGAGAATGGAGGCCTCTAAGGCAAGCAACACCATGGGTCTCAAGGTTGAAGTTTTAAGGCACGGCACAAGGAAAGATATGTCACAAGTATGCATCAAAAAGGCTAAAAGCACAGAGCTATGAGTTGTGAGCCATATGTCCTTGGAAGGAACCGGGATAAATACACTGATGAACAAAGTGATAAATATACAGGTATAAGTATGAAAGTCTCACATATATATATATATATATATACTGTGTGTGTGTGCGTGCGCGTGTGGAAAAATGTTGCGATAACTGGGGGATTAGATTTCTAAGAGTTTGTCAAAAAATAACTTCAGCAGAAATCCAAATTCAGTCAACTTCTTACCTTAACTGATCTCCAGTGAGAATTTGGCCATCGCACAGGATCCAGGTCACTTATACCCGTTATTGTCCCCATATACCTGGAGAGATAAACTCAGATTACAATTTCAACATTATGGGACAAATACAAACTAAATCCATGATAAAGTCCAATTGCAAGAACAATATATTTGCATCTCTCTTACTGTATTACAACTTAAACTTCCACCTATATGATGTGTATCTAAATTTAATTGAAGAATATGTAATTTAAAAGCTACTACCCATAATGAAAAAACTACTACCTTACCTACGGACGCTAGATTCCTCGGTCTCAAATAGCATACGGAAGCGCATTCCCACTGATACACGAGTGTGAAATACAGCCTTAACATACTTTGCAAGTGGTATCACAAACTCTGAGGGACTAGACCTAAAGAAGTAACACCAATATCAGAGCTCATGAATAAACAAAAATACTAAATATATGGAAACTGTAGAATAATTTCCCACCTTGGGTTATAGAAGATGGTAAACCGACTATTCGTAGCAGTAGCATGAGCAGAGTCTCCAGCGACGAGTTTTTTGGCACTAACAAACACACTCCATCCTGTAGTAAGAAGATGCCTTTTCGGTTGGCCTGCAAAAAAATACTAATTGTGATGAACAGATGTGCAACATTATATTTCTAGCTAGCAAGTTTCATCTGATAGCATAAAAATTCCTACATATCGATGGTCGGCATTATAAGTAATAAAGTGAAAATGCAGCAATGGATGTGGTTCATAAAGCCCATCCAACTGGCGGATTGAAGCACACAACCAACATGGCCTTTACATTGTAATTGAAAAAACACAATAAAAAATAAATTAACACCAGTCTCTGATTCATCCCTGGATAAATGCATAAGAGTTATCCATTATCTTGTGGGATATGTAACATTATGATCAATTGAAACATTAGCAGTTATCACAGACTACCTTGTCAAGGGCAATACAAGAATGAAGAAAAAACAGAGAACACTACAAATGTCAGAATCAAGAGAGAAGAAAAACCACAAAGAGATAAAACAAGCAAACACAGAGGCAACAACTCACATGATTAAACTTAAAACATATGTCACCATTTACATGATTCAACATACACATATGTCACAGGGAGGAACAATGAGACATTACATCTATCTCAAATTCAACCCAGAGAGAAACCCACATTCCCACTAGCAAATAAGAACTTACACCTCGTTTGGTACACAGGAATCGGATCAATGATGCGAGGAATGAGTTGGAATGAGTGTAGCGATGAACGCTCATTTCCATTCTCATGACTGGGTGCTATTAGAGAATGAAATGGAAAAGAAAAATCTTTTTATTTACAGTTGAATAATTATTAAGCAATCATGACATACTTGGTATTTAAATTAGTTTTTTCATCCCCACTTAGGTGGAAATGCCCATTCCCTGTCAATTCATTGGGAATGCTCATTCCCATAAAAAATAGGAATAAGGGAGAAGTGGGAATAAGCATTCTAGCTTCCTAAAAGATGTCGTGTTCAGTACGCATGGATGAGAAGTAGGAATGAGCATTATGATAAGGACAATAATGACAATTTCCATATTTGTTATTTGACTTTCTTTTATTTTAGTTTTGAATAAGAAAGATTTGGCAAGTTTGATCAAATCTTAATTTAGTTTTAATTGTGAGAAATTTGAGGGATTTTTCTATTTTGGTAGGATTTTAATTTTTGAATTTTGAATTTTGGGTCAAGTTTAGTAGTTAATCAGTTTTTAGTATCTGAGTGATTTGAGGAATTTGATTGATTTTGAGAGATTTTGCAAGTGCTCTATAAAAGCACTGTTGTAATTAGAATGAAAGAATAATGAAGAATTGAATGAAATATTTTGTTAGCTAATTTTGTGTTAAGACGAATGTTGGTGTGAAGCCTCAGGTGTGAAACCCTAGACCGAATTTTCTTCTCCTCTTCACAGCCACCAATCTCCTCTTCACAACCGCCAACCTCCTCTTTCACACCCGACACCCAACCCCGCCTCCCTGCCACCTCTACATCAACCGCAAAACCCTCAACCAACCACCTGCATCATCCCCTCTTCCGAACAGCAACCGACCCTCACCCTCTCCTCCACCGCCGCCTACCCACAGGTCATCATATCGCCCTAGCCCAGTCGACCTCGTCGTCATTCAGTTCGTCGTCGTCGTTGTTACTCAGTTCGCCGCAGTTGTCGTCTCCAGTTCAACGCCGTTGTCGTCGTCAGTTCATCCGTCGACCGTCACCACTTGATAGCCCAATAAATTATTTTTCTGTTAATCTCGTTTTATTAGTTAATTGCATGAGTATTCCACCTCTAAACTCTTATCATATATTTACTGTTTAGATTATATTTGTGAGTTGAGAGTAATTGAGCATGTGACTGTTTAAATTTGATATTGATTGTAGAACTTGAGCATGATAATGAATATTGCAGCTAAATTGATCGAGATTGGAATTAATCATAACTATTGATGCAAATTTCGTTAAATTCATCTGTCACATTAGTTGTTTTGAATTTAATTTCCTACCAAAGATCATGAAATTTGGTGAAACGATGCATTATTCGATTTAAATTGCTGATTCAGATAGACCTGTCCCATTTCACATCATTTTTTTATATCAGAGCATGGTTCTAGATTAGGAATTTTTTAGATTAATTTAATTGAGTCGTTTATTTGATTTAAAAAAATATCATTCATCTCATTTAGTTGTTAGTTCATATCATTCATCTCATTTAATTGTTAGTGCATGCCCACTCACACAGGTCTACCCTATTGATTAGGAGAGTCTAGTGAATCGTCTAGTGAGTCTAGCTTGTCAGGCAGTACAAATCTCGTACTCCTTAAGAGATTCGATGAGCTAGCAGGACAAATAAGTGCCATAGTCCAGGAGTGTAGAGCTACCCGTGAGGTCCTAACTGACTTACAAAACGTAACCAACGAGAGGCTCACTAGGCTAGAAGAAGCGTGTGTTGCAACTCCGCCTCTGCAAGGTCAAAGTCATGGGCACCTCGTTCATCGACCCCCACCACAACCTATGCCTGATCCACCAACTTTTGATGGTAAGCTCGACCCACAAGCTTTCTTGGACTGGCTGAATAATATGAATCGCTACTTCGATTGGTACGTCTTGACGGAATCGCGGAAAGTCAAGTTTGCATCAATGAAGCTTACCAGACCAGCCTGGCAATATTGGTCCCACCTCGAATCCCACCTCGAAATGTTAAGGTATATTAGAGATGAGTTACCAATTTTAACTTGGCGAGAAAACCATGCATACCCTTCTGTACCAATCCAAATCCTAACAAAAAAGGAATCGTAGTCTTGCCCAAAAGAAGCATTTTCGATTTGACATATATCTAAAGAGTGACTGCCTTAAAACATGTCACAATCAACTCTACACAGAAAGACATCTTTGACCTCAGCCAAGCATCCTTTATTAACCGACGGACTTGGATTACTGTTCATGGACAACTGTTTCCTATTTAACTGCTTGTTCCAATGCAAATTTTCGACATGGACTTCACACTATGTATCAAATCTTAAACTTTGAGCTGAGCTGCCTGCAATTTGCACACCTTTTTCCTTATATTGCACCTCCACGATCACACTATTACCTAATTTAAACCATGTGTCTCACCTAAAGGAGATATTCAAATAGTTTCTTCTTTTATTCTATTAATGTCATGCAACATCGAAAACTATCATCAAGAGCCTCGAGCTGCCTAACTAAAGTCTGTCATCAAGAAGATACAATATTCTTACCTCGGAATATATGTCTGAACTTCCACTCGACGCCATGAATATCCCTTGCAATAAGCTCTTGAGCTGGCGGTTGCTGAGAAAAATCCTGAAAAAAAAGACAACATAGAATCGTAATCAATGTAAAACAAATGTAAAAAACACACAACATATACAAAAGATCACCACACCAAGGAAGGAAACACTTTCTCTGCTGCTCGACGAGGTACAGAAAACCCTCCGTGAGTGCTTGTATCACTCGCAGTCAAAGTCTTACAAAAGTAATTAGTAGGTTGCTTAAAACATAATTCAGAATCAAACGGAATCAAAGTCAACACAAACAAGCCACAAAAACAAAATTTTACCGGGTTCAAAGGTTGAAGAGTCATTTGAGCATACACTTCATCTGTCTCCGAATCTGCCTGCAAAAAAATTTCAGGCATGCAATAAGACACCAAATGAGATTAATCCAACTTGACATTGAAAAATAACTCACATGCATTGTGACTTCATGGAGCTGGCAAATGAGTTGAGGAGGCAAGTTCGGATAATTTGGAATATGTCCCTCAACCTCTTTATTCGTCGACACCGCAACCTTTCATTCCCAAAAAAAAAACATTAAACAAAGAAATATGAAAACCCTTTTGAGTTCAAACACTAAGATCTTTCAACCTGTTCACTGTGGCCTTGAGGGAAGTAAACAACTCTAGTACCAACATTGGGCAGGCACACTAGAGGCCCGGCGCAAGCATGCCAAAGCTCAGAATTCAAGCATTTCTTTTCCCCCCCTAAAATCAAAACTTACCAATAATAGTAAACACAAAAGTACATGCTATAAGGAATTGCATAATAATGAAATTAGTAAGAAACTTTACCTTCTTCAGACCGCTGCCCTGAACTCTGAGCAGAATGACTCATTTTCTAAACCCTAAACCTCAGCAAGCAATTGCATTCTATAAAAGGAAAGCTTTTTGAGCTGAGAAAAAACTAGGGTTTCAAAAATAGAGCTCAAAAGAGAAGCAGCAGCCTCGAATTTGTGCAAGATGTTGCTTTTAAAGATAGTAGAAATTGGAAGCAACAACAACACGACTGTGGGATTGTTTACGCTAAAAATTGAAGGGGGGGAAAAAAGACTTTTTTTACTTCCAAGGAACTTCAACCGAGCTCCAAGAAGCTCGCTTTCTTCGAGATCGCCATGAGAAGAGACCCTCAGAAAACAAGAAGAAAAATTAATCAAAAATCGTTACAGGGAAAGTTGGATGAGAGTAGAGAGCTCATCATATAATTTTCCTGAGGGTTTTGTTTATAAAACCCAAAGCATACCTCAATTTACTTTTAAACCTACAAACTTCCCAAATTATTCTCCAACCCAAGGTACCTAAAGCTGAAAGTTTTTTTAATTCATATCCTAATAAAGTTGCTATAGTAATGTCTAAGTTGCTCCAATTGGCAGGTCAATAATTATATATAGGTCTACATCATTTTATTTTTTTTATCAAATTAAATGTATTTGGATTTAAAAAATAATTCAGTGTAAATGTTTTGGGTTTAGGAGTAATTTTTAAGTAGATGGACTTAAGAATAATTATCAATAGCATTGGGTTTAGAAATGAACTCCTTTCCAAAATTCTACTTTTTGCTCCGAGAATTTGACAATTTACACGACTACCCTTATGAGTATTGTTCATTACATATTATCACTGTGTACTTTTATGTAAATGTGGTGAGATTTTTAGGATCTACAGTGTAAAAAAGAGTCGGTGCACGTACTTTTCAGACAAATCTACACTGGTTTAATCTCAGCCGTTGGATCGTAATGAGTTTGGTGATTAAAGCCCAAAGTGGCAAGTCATCTGAAAGTGGGAATTTGGCAAGCCCAAAATCTAGAAAAGGCGTTGCTAATTAATTCAAGTGGGCCCCACAATTTACAAACCCGACTTTCGTTTGACCTACCGTCGTCTTATATTAGTTTTGACATTAGGTTAATCAACATCTAATCCCTTGTGATTTAAGGCTAAATCAAAAGGTTATATTTATTTAGAACGACTAACCTCCACTTTTTCTAGGAACTAATTGGAGATGTAATATTTTCTTTAAAAGGGAAATTAGCCAAAAGGGACTTTAAGTTTTTCCTCTTGTGTTAAAAGTGAAGAATAAACTCAATCTTGATAGCTACATTGTCTCTCTTGAATATCAAGCTCAACCACATCAAATTTGGAATTTATTGCGAGTATAGCTTAAATTATAGATGGTGGTTTTATTAGTTTTAAATTGTAGTTTATTTATATAATGCACTAACTTGATAAGATGGCTTTTAAGAGGTTCACACTTACGATTAGCTCAAGAAGTCCATGGAATGGAGTGCATCTACGGTGAAATGAGAAACCAATTCCAATCAAGAAATAACTTTAGATTATATATGCCAATGACAACATCCTAGCATTGAATATGGTAAATATGTTATAAAGAATAGTGATAAATTAATCCTCCGGATTTACCGTATCAATGCAACAACCACCATTAAATTTACAGTTATAAGTAGTGATGAAATCGTATGTTACTATTATTTAGAAGAAGTCAAACTTTTGGCCGTAGGAGTTAAATTCCTAAAAACCTAAAAACCACTCAAACGAATTATAATACTTCAAAATTGGTGTGAAGGGTAAACATGAGAAAGACCAACAAAAACCTCAACAAAATCTCTTAACATTTCCACTCCCCACATTCCCGACTCTCCTACCCCCTACTTTAAGTGAAATTATTCTCATGTTCTGTGTCATGCACGTATTGTGAGCATTAGAATACTTAGTTATTGAAGGCAAGGAACGCTTAAGGCAAGTCTAAGAAAACTTGGATAGGAACAATTAAGAATAATATCGTAACAGTTAACTTTAAACCCATGAGTTAACCCTCAACAGAACTCAACTAAAAAATAAAACTCATGACACAAAAAAATTTGGAATCAGTATATTAGCAATATTTTATCATCAATTCCCTTCTTATGTAAGTAAAACTCTCATTTTCACCATAGAAAAAACAAATATGATAGCTCGTCTCACTTATCAGCTGTAAAATTACTTCCCATGCGACTAAAGAACTGATCATTGCAGGCTCAAATGAAACATCTCCTCCATTGCATTCAGTGAGAGAGATTGTTACATAGATTCTGACACATACATGAAGGGATTGTCAAATAAGTTCAACAACAAGACTAATGCAGGGACAAGTGATGTTTGCATGTTCGCAAGCATATGATCACAAAATGTTTTTTTCCGTTTCTCCTCCGTGAAGCGCAATAACTACACAACTCAAAAGCACAATTTTTCACATAACCTTGACAAAACAAATTGTGTGCCATCACTGGTAGTATCTCCGTGGCCCTACTGATAATATCTGAAGCAGAACCATACAAACTTCTGCCCACAGCAAGCACAGTGTTGACCACCACGCCTACAACTCAACAAACTGCGAGGCCGCAAAGACTCTCCCTCCTCCTCCAACGCCCATGCTCAAAGCCACCGAAAACGCAAAAGTAGATGGATCACAGGAAAGTTAGTTCTTGAAGTTGTTTTCGATGCACGAAAAGTCTAAAGTTAAGGCGAAAGTTGAGGGTTATCATGCAATAATTAATCCATAGGTCGAGCGTCCTATCCAACGGTCAAAGACCAGACTACTTTATGCATTGATATATTTTAAAAATTCCGCGTCCTGGAGAATGATATTTTGAGAAATTCCGTGTCCAGAGAGAGTATAATCTTGGTTACCCTGCTACCATCCTAAAATCCTTTTCATTGCTCTAGCACCTTTTTCCATGGGTTGGAACTTGAGAGTTTTTGCCGTATGCTGGTTTAACGCGGTTTAGATGCATGGTCAGTGAGAATTGGCCCTGCATTATTCTAATTGAAGGACTCTGCCACCATAGTAAAACTCCAAAGTCACGGTGAGAGGTGAAGGGCTATAATTTTATCATTCGACATGTTCTCACAAAGTGGTACCTTTCTTTTTAAATCCGCTTCAGAAATTCATGGCTAGTATGTTTTGCATCTGCAGGTTGCTTTGACACCATGGTAACACAGATTTGATAAATATTTAATACCCTGTTTATATACAAATATGAGTTAATTTGGCGAAAATACACAACTGTAATAACATATATATAATATATCTGAAACAGATATCACTTAAAATCTCTACTTCTGCGTAAAAATTTCAAAGTATGATGAGAAGTAAAGGTTATGACTCTGTACCCTAACATTAGTGTGTTAGAAGCATCATGTGGAGGTAGAAAAGAGCAAGTTGGGTCATCATAACACAGGGCTTCATGTCAAAAGCCAGGCCAGCCAGCAGGCAACTAGAGCACAGTCACTGACTGCATTCATGTGCTCTGCCCCTCAGGAATTTTGCCCCACTCTTTTGATTAAAGCCACCAGCATGGCCTTGGTCCCCCCCTCCATCTCTCTCCAAATCATTCCTCCATGATTCTTACATCCATTCCATAGAGCTTCAAATCTCAAAGCCAAGCTCAGGCTTGCCCATGCTTGCCACTGCCTGAGGTGGAGCCCACGCCTCTAGAGAACTCTAGTGTTTATGTATTGAGTTCAGAAAGTTAAAGAGCATCAAGATTATAATCATCAATCCTTACAGTTTCTGCATAACGAAGAGGACTTTGAAGATGGTATCAGAGCAGTCTATAAAAAACTACATCAGGTGTGTGTTTGAAGTGGATTGAAAAATGATATTACTACGTATAATAGCTTGGTTTCCAACATATGGAAAAGAGTCTCAACCTGCAAGGACATGCAAAGACACATCAGAGCATACTATTTTAATCCCACCACGGGCTCGAAGTTTTAATCTAATATTAGACTAATCCATATTCATATTCCATATGGTAAATATTTATAGAAGATTAAAAAAAAAGATATCACTACGTAAGACAGCTCAGTTTTTCGACCCGTGAAAGTCCCTCATTCTACACAAACATGTTAGAATACATGATTATAATTTCATCACAACTTTAAAGTATTAACATAACAAGAGTGGCCTTAAAATAGGGATCCACAAAGAAAGCTGCAAAAATATAATCTTCAAATCCTTAAGAGTTTTAGTATAACATAGAAGACTATGAAAAAGATATTAGAACAATCCATGTTTAAGTTTCACTAGACAGTAGACACATATTTAGAGCGGAGTTAAAAAAAGGTATCACCAAGTAGGAAAACCCAATTTCGATCTATGAAAAAGGCACTCAATCTGAGATAGACACATTAGAATATATAATTATAATCTCATCGTAACTTCAAAGTTTTAATATAATGGAAGAAGCTTTAAAATAGGGACCCACCAAGAAACTTGTGACAAGGAGTTATAGCTTAATGTGGCTGAGACACAAAACACTGAGAGGAGCAGGGAAGAGGTGTTATTGTGAAGCAACAAGACAGAGAGGGGACTTTACCTAAACAAATAACAAGTGAAAGAAAACAAACAAGTGTTAAAAGGTTATTTGGTCTCTTATAGGAAAACTGGAGTACAATGGGTTGCTCCTCATTTAAAAGATCCAAATCAAAGAAAGATACTCACAACAGGACAGCTGAGGGTCTCATTTTGGGCTCCAATGGCTCCCACCATGAATAAAAGAAGAGTGCATGATGGAAACTTTTGGCATTGGATTCCAGCAGGAGCTTATAGTAACACCTTCATAGGTAAAATTGGTGATGGTGATCATTGAACTAGCATGGTAGCTTATATTATTATAGGCGGTCAGCACTTGGTCAAAGATTGGTGTGCAGTCAGTGAGCTCAAGCATTGACATACAAGTATGGACATTGGTAATAAATAAATCAATCATATGCGCGTGTCCATTGCAGACGATGGATTAAAAGAAATCTTATGTGACTGGTGCTGTCATCCTTATGGTAAAATTTCTCAGAGGCGGTCGGTTGTTTTTGTTCGGTTGAATGAGAGGTTAAATTGTGAGGCTCACTTCTCTCCCTCCCCAAAATAATGAGAGAAGATAGGAATTCTGAGCAAAAATTTACTTCCTTCCACTTTCTTCAGTAAACTTTGCATCAAAGCGGACATAAAATTTGGTCAAGTATTTGGATTCTGACAGAGCTCTTGGTGTGGGGCCTGCACTTTTTATGGATTTCTCAGATTCATGGAAACAAACAAGCCCTTACGGTTGTGCAAGAGATTTGAAATTCTTAGCGCCAACCTAGGGGTCAAGGATATGAAATGAAATAGGACAAATTTTCGTTTTAGACCTCTTTAGAAACTTATTTGCAAAAAACGACTTATTTCGAAAATATTTGCCAAATTCGACCCAGTTTCAACTAACTAGTTAAAACTGGGTCGAATTTGGCGAAAAAACATCCAAAACTTCACGGGACTTGAAGTCCCGTGAACTAAGTTGCATGGAAACGGGCACGGGTACTGGTGGTGCGGGTACGGGACACGGCAAAACTGTAAAATGTAGGGCACGGGACATGACTACATATATATATTGAATTACTGTACATAAGATAATTTTTTTTCCCTTCACGTGTCATTAGAATTAAAATTCCGATCATATTTTTGAGTTTCTTTTATCATATTGATTTCGTGAATTGTAAACTACTCATTTTTTTTACTAGACATCTAAACGACCCATTAACTATATAGTTTTAAAATTGGGTATGGACTGAAATGAATCCGACCCCTATCTCATTAGTTTCAAAAGACGGATGTGAAGGGTAAGCTCTACGTCCAGGAAGTCTTTGACAAGTGTTTTAAATTAACACATATATCGTATAATTGAGTACATGTTGTAATAAATGCATGCATATATTCAAGAAGTGTCCATGAAGTTTGGGTACGGGAAAGTGTCGGGTACATGTCCGGTACGGGTACGGCTTCATTATAGAAGTACCCGGGTAACATACCCCGTGAAGTTTAAGCCCCCATTATTAACTTAATTAACAAAGTAATGGGGGCTTAAACTTCACGGGACTTGAAGTCCCGTGAAGTTTTAGATGTTTTTTCGCCAAATTCGACACAGTTTCAGCCAGTTGGTCGAAACTGGGTCGAATTTGACAAATATTTTTGAAGTATGTCGTTTTTTTGCAAATAAGTTTCTAAACTGGTTTATTTTGAAAATTTGTCCAATGAAATTCTATGACTTGTTGGTTATGGCCTACAGACCTATGAGACAGCATAAACACGCCCACACCTCCGTCCACACACCAAACAACCCCACACCACATCACACAGAAGCACACCCAAAATTCAATGCAAGTCTCAAGGATTTTGCAATCTATTTCAACACTGTCTTAACTCAAAGTCATCTACAATACTTACAATGTAAACCCTGATCAATATCATCGGCAATATAAAATAGTAAATCTATAGACTAAGAAGAGCTTAAAATAAAACAACTGCAGGCCTCTCCTAAAGGTCGTGAAGCGATCCATTGACTTTCATGTGCATTGCACATGCAGAAGAAAATAGCATTCATGTTAAAGAAACAACCCATACGACTAACACTTTGCTAAGAAAAAGTTCTAGCAGAGTGCTGAAAGATTATTAGAGAAACCACTAGCCACCTAAAAGGAATTTGTGACAACTGAGATAAATATGAAGAGAAAATCACCGACCAGCTTCCGGAGCACATCAATTATTCATCTTCTAAATGTCTGCTTGAAAACCGAGGAGAAAGACTAGATCTATTCCTTCATCAATTATGACTAGGCAAAGTGTCAATAGTTGGTCCAAAAATGGACATCAAAGTCTTATCTGTGTAAAATTGACATGATGGGTGGCCTCTGCACACAAAGAGTACGTATTAGAATGATACCACACACTGTGTTCCCTGTTAAGAAAGAAAGAGGAGCTAGCCTCCAAGTGGAGTACTCTTCCCAAGTTGATATGTCCATTCAAACACTCACACACGTGTGCAGCAGATTCCCTCAATACTGACACACATGTGCGCATGCAGGAGTGGCAGTACACATAAAACACACACATGTGATGCTAATGAGTAATAGAATCAAAGAAGCGAAACCACAATGGAACCTAACTCCAGAGTTAGATGAATACAATGGTTAACTTAATTAGACCTTAAAGAAGTTGAATTGGAGACAAGGATTCATACAATTGATCCTGAATTTTTTCAGATAAAGGTTTTTTTAATTGTTGTTGTAGCTATTAATTAGTAACATTTATCTGTATCTTGGGTCGAACTCTAGGTTAGTCGATTGAATCATACCTAGCAGTGTCATGCATTCCAATTTATGACATTAAGTATCTTCTCTGCAGACAAAAGTTATTGAATGTCTATATCCTTATGAGGCTTTAAGTTGTTGTATAGAGTGTACCTTTATATTCATAAAAATCACAAAGAAATTGGTCGACCCACTTTGACTAAGTTTGCAGCAAACACATATATACTAAGAAAAGGGAGCACTAAAAAGACATTCATGCACGATAACTTCCGGATAACTTGATTCTGTATATCAGAATCCAAGTCAGACTGGTGATATTTTCTTACTATGATTTGAGTACACAAAAACAAAGAGGGGTAACAGTGAGAAGGGGAAGTTTTTGAACATTGCCATGCAGAGGAAGGGGCTGATACCTCGTAGAAGGTGCATGAAGCATCACTTTCCTCACTCATGTAATCCAATAAAGTCAGCACACAGTCCAAGGTCTGTTAAAGTGTTATCTCTGACTGTTTTGGTTCTAGCAAAAAGAAGCCCAAGCTGGTCCAAGAATTTGAGCCTAGGACCCTTTAGAATCTTTCATAAAAAAGCAAGAAATTTGCAAGAACCAAAGTGTAAATGTTCTTCATTAAGATCGATGAGGCCACAGAACCCCACAAAGATCAACATTCTTCTGTTGAAACCTTAAAGACCTTTCGCATTTAAATTCTTGCTGCTATAAAGAAGGGTATTTTTAAAGCCTTTATGTACCAAGCTCAGGTTCTACAGGCCACTATGGAGTCAAACAGGAGAAAT